CCAGCCATGCTGTGGCCTCAGCCCCATTCAATGAACCAAACCTTCCCCTTCCCAAACAGTGGGCCTGGGCCATGGCTGTCCTGCCCTCAGGCCATCACTTTCTGTACCCAGTGTCACCAGGTCATTGATTTCTTTCTTCTCTGCCACCTCATCAACCCTTCTTGCTTCTTATCACCTTTGCCTATCTGGTGTTGTTTCTGCCTTATTTACTCCACCCAAACCCTGCTACCTTTGCCTGCTCCTTGGACTTTCTTTTTTCTTTTTGCTTATGTGGCGCTGAGGAATCGAACCCAGGGCCTCAGGCGTGCAAGGCAAGCACTCTACCACTGAGCCAACTTCCCAGCCCGCTGCTCCTTGGACTTTCTATTTCTAGACCTGTTTCTCATCACCTTTCATATGCTCATTGCATTATTTACTCTCTGTGTGTGTGTGTGTGTCATGGAGCTTGAATTCAGGGCTTGGGCACTGTCCCTGAGCTTTTTCACTTAAGGCTTTTGCACTTTGAGCCACAGCTCCACTTCCAGCATTCTGGTGGTTAACTGAAAATAAGAGTCTCATGTACTTTTCTCCCTCGGCTGGTTTTGAACTGTGATCCTCAGATCTTAGCCCCTCCTGAGTATCAGCTAGGATGACAGGCGTGACTCACCAGTGCTCAGCTTATTTTATTTTTGAGCATCTATATAATAAGAAAATCTGTCCTGGCAGTTTCAAGAGATACATACTACCCATTCTTTTTTTTTTTTTTTTTGGTCATGGGGCTTGAACTCTGGGCTTGAGCGCTGTCCCTCAGCTCTTCAGCTCAAGGAGAGCGCTCTACCACTTGAGCTGCAGCGCCACTTCTGGTTTTCTAGTGGTTTATTGGAGATAGGAGTCTCACGGTCTTTCCTGCCTGGGCTGGCTTTGAACTGCGATTCTCAGATCTCAGCTTCCTGAATAGCTAGGATTACAGGCGTGAGCCACCAGTACCTGGCTCATACTACCCATTCTATCCTGTTTTACTTTGGGCCCTTCTTCCTTTCATTCTCTCCCTCCAGATTTCATTGTGTAGCACATGCTGGCTTCAAACTAATTTTTTTTTTTTTTTTTGGTCCGGTTGTGGGGCCTGAACTCTGGGCCTGGGCGCTGTCCCTCAGCTCTTCAGCTCAAGCACTCTACCACTTGAGCCACAGTGCCACTTCCGGCTTTTTTCTTTTTGCTTATGTGGTGCTGGGGAATCGAACCCAGGGCCTCATGCATGCAAGGCAAGCGCTCTACCACTGAGCCATCTTCCCAGCTCAAACTAATTTTTTTGTGTGTGCCAGTGCTGTGGCTTGAAGTCAGTGCCTTTTACTCTTACTCTGGAGTAAGGCTCCAGTTCCAGCCTTATGCTGGTTAATTAAATAAGAGTTTCTTGGATTTGTCTGCCAAAGGGTTGGCTTTGAACAAAGATCTTTTGTTCACAGCCTTCTTAGCAGCTAGGATTATAGGAATGTGCCATCTGAGCTCAGCTGACCTTCAATTCTTCCATTGTCCCACCTCTACTACCTCCAGTGTCCCAAACTAGGATTATAGGTGTTCACTACCATTCCCTGCCAATAAAGTGGGGATGAGGGGCTGGGAAGGTGGCTCAGTGGTAGAGCACTTGCCTTGCATGCATGAGGCCCTGGGTTCGATTCCTCAGCACCACATAAGCAAAAAAAAAAAAAAATAAAGTGGGGATGAGAATTCTTGTCCCTTACCCACCTATTCCTCCTTCCCTCTCTTCCCCTTCCTCTCCCTTCTCCCTTTCCTGTGCTGCATGAGAGCGGAGGGAAAGCCTGTTGGCAAGGACTTTTCTTGCTAGCTGTGCAGGGGAAGTTTTCATCCTCCTGCTTTTCCACGACTCCCAGCCAGGGGTGCAGGTGAAGGCAGCAGAGGTCACATCCTGCCTTAGACATTGCTCTCATAGGTTCTCTACCTAACGACAACTTCTAGGACAAAGATCAGGTGTGGCTTGGCCCACAAGGGATACCAGCGGGTGAGTGATGGACCAATTGTGCTGATGCAACTCAAGGCCTGGTCCTGCCTCCAGGCTCTGCCTCCCAAGTCTCAGTCCTACATGGGTGCTTCCTGTGCTCCCCACTGCATATCCATCTGCTGCCCCACGGCCCTTGCTGGAACTGCAGCCCCGCCTCGAATGTCCTCTCTGCTCCTCTTTACTGCCATGAAACCACCCCCTCCCACAGCTAGGCTTAATGTTGCCTCCTCCAGGAAATCTTCACCGTACACAGCAGATGTGGGAAGTTGATTCTGTTTTCTGGGCTTTGAAAGGCCTATGAATACTATCCATAGGAGCACTGAACAAAGTTTTGGGAATGACCTGTTCCTACCCTTGGTCTGTGATCACAGATGGTGGGCTTCAGCATGCACAGCGCCCCAGGTGGAAACATACAGCTTCTGAAATAGTTGGTGTCTAAGTCTGTCCAGCTGGTTTTCTGTTTCTGACTCCCCTGCTTCCCCAGATAGACTCAGGGCATCCCCAGGGTAGGCATTGTAACCCTGCACTGACTAGATGCCCCTATAGTGTCTGCTCATTGCAATTAGAGTAGGTCTCTGCCATTTGGGGTGGGGTTGTGATGTCACACACAAGACATTTCCTGAGACAAAAGAGGCTTCTCAGCTTTCGAGAACACCCCTACCTCAGTAGAAGATACCAGGCCCTGAAGGAAGAGGGAATAGGAGAGAGACCAACCTTAAACTCCGGCTCCTTGCGTGCCAGGCGCCTGAGCTCCCGGCTGAGTTGGAAGGCAGCCAGCATGGCATCCTCGCTGGCCAGCGACAGGTGGGCCCTGCTGGCAATGCCACGGTAGGTGTTGATGCGGGACAGGGAGAATTTGAGCAGGTCATAGCGGCGGGCATTGCTGCACTCGAGGCAGGCACAAGAGATGGGGTGGGGCCGGGCAATGGTGTGGCCCTGGTCCATGAGCAGCTGTGCAATCTCATACAGGTCTTTCTGGCAGGCCAGGGTGAGTGGTGTGACACCAGGGGCAAAGCGGGAGCCATCGATCGAGGAGTCAAAGAAAGCCAGAGAGAAAGACTTCGTGTCGACTTTGCGACCCTTCTCCCGTTCTAGCCGGGCCAGCAGGCGCCGCACCACTGCAGGCTGGTTTGTGTCCACTGCCACCAGCAGGGCTTCGTGGATCTGCCTGAAGTCAAACTTGATATTGGCCAGCAGCACATCGGTGATGGCCTCGTGGCCCAGGCGGATGGCCAGGTTGAGGGCTTCTCTCCAGGAGCGGTCCTCGGCCTCTTCCACATTCCGCAGGGGCCCCCCGGGCCCCCCACCTGTGACCTCTACCCCTGACTCCAAAAGCTGCTGCACAAGACCCAGACGCCCCTCCTGGATTGCTCCTAGGAGCTGGGGGGGGAACTTGAGCTTCTTGTTCACGATCTCTGTCCAGTTGGGTTGCGGCTGGATGGAGGGGAGAGGGCAGAAACCTGAGTTTCTAACCTGCTTTGTTTGGGGGCCTCCTTTACTCTTCACCTTCTAGCCCTTAATCCTCTACACCAGCCACCATTATGTTCTTCCTTGTCCCAAACACATGCTGGCCAGGATTGTCTGCTTTACCATTTTATTGTGTAGGTTCTCATCAGAAAAGTGCCAGACTAGGTCTGATGGCGGCCTCGTCCTCAGCTCCTCTTCTATCCTTGCACACAGTGGGGCCAAATGTGAAGACCCCAAGAAAGGGGTTAAAGAAGATGGACAGGAGGGGTGGGGGTGGGAGGTGCTACACTGGGAACCCAACCCCACAGGTAGGCCTCAGGATCATCCAGGGCCCAGCTCCCCTCTTGTTGACTTCATCTTCCAGCTGCTCACTCTGTGGGTTCCAGAGCCTATTCAGGACAGGTCCAGACATGTCCACACAGGAGAATCTTTGAACTGAGCTTGTCCCCAAACCCACAGCTTTGAACAGGACTCCGAGCAATGTACTTCTTATTCATCATACCCACTGGCTTTTCCTCCTGCTTTGGGGCATCTCCTGCTTACGACAGTGTGTCCCTCTTCTACCAGGCCTGGCCCCCTCCCCTGGCTTCTCTTGTGGGGTAGTCAAGAGCTCCCGGGTTCTCCTACCCACAGTTACACCCACCCTTTGCCTGGCTGCTTGGGTGTCCCTGTCCCTACTTTTTTCCAATAGTTTGGTTCCCAGCTAGAAAGAGGATTGAGATACAGGTAAGTAGGGGAAAAGGGCCTCTTACCGGAGGGGGATCCATGGTGGCACCCACTTCTGTAGGCAGGACTGGAGATCTGGACTCCTAATGTCTGCTCCCTTGACTGCACCCAGCCTCCTGTTCCTACCTGCTCAAAACCCCGCCCTGCGCCCTCCCTTTGCCAGGACCAGCTGCTCCCCCCTGCCCTAAACCTTGGGGAGCTGGAGTGCCATAGTGAAATCCTCTGGGGAAGGGGAGACAGTTTACAGTTGCTCACAGAAGGCAGGAACAGAATTTGGAGTATTGTAGCTCTGGGGAACCAAGATGGGAATGGGGTGCATCCAAGCCCCAAGCCAAGCCCAGGCCCATTCCTTGTCATTAACACTCTGTGAATGCATGGGTTAAGGGATTTTTCTCTCAGCTACCTAGAATTAACTCTGGACCCCCAAGATATAACTCACTAAAGGCACATGACAGTACTGTTACCTAGTTATGCCTAGGACAGTAAGGAAGGATACAACAGAAAGTGAAGTTCATAGGATGCTCGATGTCAGGCCCACACTCAAAAAACCATTCTCAGCTTCCTGCAACATTACAGGATCTTTTCTGTCATACTACTAGTAAGGCTTGATTCAGGGCCTCAGGCTCGTGCTTGTTCACTCACAGCTGGCACTCTAACTACCTAAGCATGGTACCTCAACCTGATTTTTGGCTGGTTAAGTGGAATTGGAAGTCTCAAAGACTTTTCTGCCCAAGCTGGCTTCAAATTCTGATCCTCAAATCTCAGCCTCTGAGTAGCTAGGATTATAAACACAAGTAACCAGTATCCAGTTAGTATTTTTCTTTTGAATGAGCCTCAGTTTTCCTTTAGAAAAATGAGTGTAAGAATGTGTATCATTCACTCAGGAAATATGTTCCAGATAGTGTCTCGAGGTACTAGACAGATCATCAGTTCTACTCCAGAAGTTCCAAGTGGGGAAAAGGACAGAGCTGTCTTCAGGAGAACTGGGTGCCATGGTGATAAAGTCTTGACAACTGGGAATTGGGAATGCAGAGATGCCTGCAAACAGGCAGTCTTGAGGGAATACGAAGCGTGGCATCAATAGCCTTGGGCCATGAAGAAATCTACTCCCGTCTTTGTCACTGGGGGTGGTGAGGCAAAGCCCTAGGATCACATTGGCTCATGTCCAGAGAAGGTCCCCACATGTGCTGGCATGTTCTTCAATCTCTCCTGCTGAGAACTGCAAGTGGCAGAGAGGGCACTGGACCCAGGAAGTGCGTGGTGAACTCTCTGGGGAGGATACCCACTGTACAGATGGGGATGAAGAGGGTGAAGAGGAAGGAGAAGCTGGCCAAGGCAGGGAGGTCTCTCCACATGTGGCGGCGTGCTGAGGAAGAATCTCCATGCTGAAGGAGCCTAAGGGGGAGAGAAAGAGGTGAACAGTATTGGGCCTGCCACCCCAGGACATGTGAGGACAGCATCTGCTGCCCACATGCAGCTGCCCTTGCAGGAAATTTCCTTGGCTGTTTTACACCTGAGACACGATCGCATACCATCAAACATTTCCTAAGTATTTGCTGTGTGCCTGGCAGTCTGCCAGGAGCTGAGGGATAGGGAGGTCCTCATGGAAGAGTCTAGTGGGAAAAGGGAGCTGGGAGCATACAGAACATGGATATAGGCAGAACTGAGACACGCTGAGTCCGAAGGAATCTGAGAATGGCACAGGAGCTGACTTGGGAGAGATTACTTGGGAAGATCAGAGAAGGTTTGGCAAAGAAGTATATTTATTTTAGGGCTGGGAAGATGGCTCAGTGGTAGCGTGCTTGCATTCATGAGGCCCTGGGTTCAATTCCTCAGCACCACATAAGCAGAAAAAGCCAGAAGTGGCGCTGTGGCTCAAATGGAAGGAGGCTAGCTCTGAGCCGAAGAGCTGAGGGACAGCACCCAGGCCCAGAGTTCAGGTCCCATGACCAACAACAATAACAAAAAGAAGTATATTTATTTTTGATTTATTAGTATTTTTTTTCTATTTTTTTATTTTTATTTTATTTTATTTGTGAAGATACTGTACAGAGGGGTTACAATTACATGGGCAGGATAATGCGTACATTTCTTACCACGCATTGCAGCCTCCTCCTTTTGTTTACCCTTCCCATCCCTTCCCAGCCTCCCCCTTCCCCCCCATGATTTATTAGTATTTTTATGTGTTGGTACTGAGGCTTGAACTTAAGAGCTGGAGTGCTGTCCCTTAGCTTTTTTGCTCAAGGCTAACACTCTACCATGTAAGCCACACCTCCACTTATGGCCTTTGGCTGGTTAATTGGAAATAAAGGTCTCCACAAACTTTCCTGCCTGGACTGGCTTTGAACTGTCATCTTCAGATTTTGGCCTCCTGAGTAGCTAGCATTATAGGTGTGAGCCACCTATACTGTGTAGAAGGTGTGTACTCCACCAACAAATACATCTGAACCGAGACTTAAAGAACGAGCAGAATTTGGTTTGGACATGGGGGGAACTTGTGAGGGAAATTCCAGGATCTCTCAACAAGGACTTATGTTGGCTTTCCTGCTTGTCCCTTCCCCAGCTTAGCTGACACAGTGGGAACAGATACTCCAGAGAGATTTGTCTTCAATTCTATCTGAGTACAACACAGTTACTTATGTAGGGACTTTGGAGATGACGAGGCCAGGGGTCTAAAGTTGTCTTCACAGTACCCCTAAATCTATATGCCCCTCAAGGAAAGCCTTGTAAGGAACCACCATCCCCAGGCTTACCTGCACAAATGGGGCACTGTCCATGACTTGGGACACTGCTCTTTTGGGCGTGGGGTGGGTGCTCTTTTTGCCTTGCCCTTGTTGTTCTCCTCTTGCTTGGCTGAGAGTTTGAGTTGGACAGAGATCTATGAGAAAAACAGGTAAATATCAGCTATTAACTAGGTACTGGTGGCTCATGCCTGTAATCCTAGTTTAATAGGAGTCTGAGACCTGGAAGATCAGAATTCAGAGGCAATCAAGGCAGAAAAGGCTGTGAGACTCCATCTCCAATGCTCCAATAGCATGGTTAGAAGCATGTCTCAAGTGGTAGAGCATGAGAGAGAGCTATGCAAATGTGAGGCCCTGTGTTCAAGTCCTGGAACGAGAAGTCATCAAGAGGCCACAGGACTGAAGGTGCCTAGAATTAGGACAAAAAGAAGTAGTATAGTTTATGCCGGAATAGCAACCTTGGCCTTTTTTTTTTTTTTTTGCCAGTACTGGGGCTTGAACTCTGGGCCTGGTGCCATCCTTTAGCTTTTTCACTCAAGGCTAGTAGTAGTGTAGCACTTTAGCCACAGCAGCACTTCCAGCTTTCTCAGAGTAGCTCATTGAAGATAAAAGAGTCGCATGGACTTCCCTGCCTGAGCTGGCTTTGAACAGAGATCCTTAGATTTCAGCCTCCTAAGTAGTTAGAACTACAAGCGTGAGCCCCTCTATTTTGCTTTTTAAAGTATTCTTACAATAGCATCTTTTCTTTTTCTTCTTTTTTTCTTTTTGGTGCTAGTACTTCTTCACTTAAGGTTAGTGCTCTAGCACTTGAGCCACAGTGCCAATTCCAATGTTAACCAGATATAACTGTTATGGACTTACCTTTCTGGACTGGCTTTGAACTGTGATCCTCAGATCTCAGCCTCTTCAGTAGCTAAGATTACCGATGTGAGTCACTGATACCCAGTATCTGATTTTTTGTTTGTTTTTTGTCGTGAGGCTTGAACCCTGGGCCTGGGCGCTGTCCCTCAGCTCTTCGGTTCAAGGCTAGCACTCTACCTCTTGAGCCACAGCGCCACTTCTGGCTTTTTCCATTTATGTGGTGCTGAGGGCCTCATGCATGCAAGGCAAGCACTTTATCACTGAGCCACCTTCCCAGTCCCGCATCTGTTTTTCTGATGTAGGCACTCAGAACTATAAATTTCTTGCTTACTACTTCCTTTTCTGTATCCCAAAGGGTCTGGTGATGCCAGGAACTTTTTGGTTTCCCTATTTTTTCAGTGACCCTCTAATCACTCTAGTGTTTTGGCCAGTCTCCGTGTGTTTAAATATTTTCTTGTTCTTTTTGTGCTGGTCCTGGGGCTTGAAGTCAGGGCTTGGTGCTGTCCTTGAACTTTTGTGCTAAAGGCTAGTGTTCTATCCCTTTGAGCCACAGTTTCATTTCTGGATTTCTGGTAGTCAATTGGAGATAAAAGTCTTACAACCTAGGCTGGCTTTTAACTGTGATCCTCAAATCTTAGGATCTTGAGTTGCTAGGATCATAGGCATGAACCACAGACACCTGGCATGTTTGAGTATTTTCTGTAGTATGCTTTGCTGTTGAGTTCTAGTTTAATTCCACTAGTGTTTTAGCTTTATGTCTTTAAAAATGATCTATTTGGAGTAATTTTTCCATCTTTTCACCCCATGTCCTAAGCTTATACTTGTCTTTGTCAGATGAATTTTTTTTGCTGGTACAGGGGCTTCAAGCCATCTTGACTGGCTTTTTGCTCATGGCTACCATTATACTCCATGAGCAATGCTTCCTTTCTGGCTTTTTGCTGGTTATTTGGAAGTAAGAGTGTTATTTATGGAAGCTGGGCACCGGTGGCTCACACCTGTAATCCTAGCTATTAAGGCTGAGATTTAGGATTGCGGTTCAAAGCCAGCCTAGGCAGGAAAGTCTGTGAGACTCTTATCTCCAATAAACCACCCGAAAACCGGAAGTGGCGCTGTGGCTCAAGTGGTAGAGTGCCAGCCTTGAGCTGACGAGCTGAGGGACAGCGCCTAGGTCCAGAGTTCAAGCCCCACAACCGACAAAAAAAAAAAAAAAAAAGTTATAGATTTGCCTGCTTGGACTAGCTCCAAACCATAATTCTCAGGTCTGAGCCTCCCTAGGATTATACACATGAGGCACTGGTGCCAAATTTGTTACTTGTAGGCAACAAATGCTTGGGTCCTGCTTTTTAATCCCTGTTGCTATTCTATGTTTTTGACCAGAGAGTAAAGACATTAGCATTCAATGTTAATATTGAAAAGTATATCATAATTTCTGTTATTTTGTTGTTACTATAATACTTGCTTCTTTCCTGCTTCTTCTCTGATAATCTACTCATCTAGCAGGCTTTATTCTTTCCTATAGTCTCCTGTCTTTGGTTTACCTTTCCTGTGGGTAGGATTCACTTAAGTATCTTTTGCCATGCTATTCTCATTGAAAATCCTAGACTGTGGGCTGAGAATGTAGCTTAGTGGTAGAATGCTTGTCTCGTATGCATGAAGCCCTGGGTTTAAATCCTCAGTACCACATAAACAGAAAAAGCCGGAAGTGGCTCTGTGGCTCAAGTGGTAGAGTGCTAGTCTTGAGCACAGAGAGGCTCAAGGACAGTGCCCAGGCCCTGAGTTCAAGCTCCAGGACTGGCAAAAAAAAAAAAGAGACTCAGAAACCAGCGTTCTCCCTGACCTAACACCTAACTAGAGCAAGAGCAGGGAAAGATAGACAGCTGAAAAAGTGTGGTTCAGAGAGGTGATCCGGGTCTTCCCCATAATCTACTTACCTTTGGTCCTGTACTTTCTTTCTCTTCCTCCTGGCCAGATCACTCACTGAATTTTGTTCTTTTTTTCTGTTTGTTCTGGGCTCTGTGTTAGAAATGGTCATTAAATCTTCCTCCTTAACAAAAAGCACCCCCTTTTTTTTTTCGGTTGGTCATGGCACCTGAACCTGGGCACTGTCCCTCAGCTCTTCAGCTCAAGGCTAGCACTCTACCACTTGAGCCACAGCACCACTTCCGGCTTTTTCTGCTTATGTGGTGCTGAGGAATCGAACCCAGGGCCTCGTGTATGCAAGGCAAGCACTCTACCACTAAGCCACCTTCCCAGCCCCCCAAAAGCCTTTACATGCTACGCATGTATATAAAGCATGTAAGGCTTTAAAAATATTTCTACTCTCTTTGATTAATTCTCTCTCGGTTTGTTTCTCCCCCAAACCCCTGGCCTGAAAATAAAACAACAACACAAAAACCCTGGGATTTGAACACAGTACTTTGCTACACTACTATCCTTCTTGTTTTTTTTTGGTCGGTCCTGGGGCTTAAACTCTGGGCCTGAGTGCTGTCCCTCACCTCTTCAGCTCAAGGCAAGTGCTCTACCACTTGAGCTACAGCACCACTTCCGGTTTTCTGGTGGTTTATTGGAGATAAGAGTTTCACGGACTTTCCTGCCCAGGCTGGCTTTGAATGGCAATCCTCAGATCTCAACCTCCTGAGTAGCTAGGATTACAGGTGTGAGCCACCAGCGCCCAACTACTCCTATACTTCTAAACCTCAAATTCGATGATATCAATAGTAAGCATTTCATAAATGTGTTGTGAACATTGAATAGGTAAAATTGGTAGGAGTGCTTAGCAATGTCTAATGTAAAACAGAGCCACCAAATGCTTTTTCTTTTTCTTTCCTTTCCCCTTCTTTCTTTTTTTTTTCTTTTTTTTGAGACAAGGTCTTGTTATGTATAGCCAGATTGGCCTTGAACTGCTTAGTTCCCAGAGTGTTTGGATGACAAGTGTGTACCACCCTTCCCAGCTCCCAAATTTAGCCTTTTCTTTATGATAAAACTATATAATTTTCCTTCCTTATTCCTCTAATAAACTTCAGTCCTACCACCCTTACTTCACTGTTTTTTGTGAAATGAGGAGGGAATTTGTATACTGTAAGAGGACTAGATAATTGGTTTAATCCCTTCACTCTAAGGAAGAAGAAATTAGGGCCAATAATGATAAGGATCCTGATTCTTGGACCAGTGCTCTTTCAATTACTATATACCATTTGCTCTCTCTTCCTCACTAACAGGTGACTTTTCTCACACATGAAGCTAGGATAAGCCATCCTTGTTTAGCACTGGTGGATGCAGGGAGGAAGGACGTTGCAGGACACAGTAAGGAAGAAATCATGGGACCTCACCTTCACTTTCTGCATGGCTGGGACCTGGTTCTGTGTGGTTGTTCTTGGGGTTTGTCATACTGACTGGAGGAGCTTTGCGAGCTGCTGAAAGCACCATGCGAGCTGAACGCCCCAGAGCCCCTGGCTGCAGTTGCTGTAGGATATCTTTAAGTTCTGAAATTTGCTTGGTGTTCCTGCAGAGAAACAGAGTATGTGGTCATGCCTAGAACACAGGCTCCATTTGGTTACCCAAGTCAATACCATCCAACATGGATTTGATTACAGACAGAGTGAGGCCTACAGTATGTGACTGATTGGAAAAACCAAAGGCTAGCTTTAGGTGCCTGTAATATGGTAGCCTTTCTTCTCTATGAGAAAGATCTGTGAAGTGGGTGGTAGATCTCCACTGCTACTTACGTCTGGGGATCTGGGAAGAATGTTCTCTGGATAGAAGGATGAGCCAGCCAGGGGCTTGGACCAGTCTCCTGAGAATCACAGGAGCCCTGAGGTGGGAAAAAAAAAGAGAGAGATAGAGAAATGTAGAATATCAAGATTCACCACTAGGGCACACTGCCACCTAGGAACTCAGTTTATGTATTACATGCCATAACTTGCACATTACACATTTACTGTACATGCTCTCTTTGAGTTCTCCTCTAGCTCCAAGATCTCAGGTTCTGTGATTTTGTGCCTTTAAGTCCCAAATGCTAAGGGTTTTGCCATTATCCTGAAAGACCCTAAGGATAAAAGAATCCATATTATTTGGAAAACTGGACGATAGGTACTGATACAAACATTTGAGTCTGTTATGTGCTAACTTTTGCAAGTATCTTTCTTTTTGCCTGCCTGCCTGCCTGCCTGTCCTTCCTTCCTTCCTTGCTTTCTTTCTCTCTTTCTTTCTCATGGCGCTTGAACTCTGGGCCAGGGGGCTGTCCCTAAGCTCTTCAGTTCAAGGTGAGTGCTCTATCTCTTGAACCTCAGTGCCATTTCCGGTTTTCTGGTGGTTGAAAATATCTTTCTATATATTTTATTTTTCTATATATTTTAAATGTGTACATATACCCATTCTTGCAGGTAAAAAAACTCAAGCTCTAGGGATTGAATCCAGGGCTTCACATATGCCAGGCAAGTTTTCTACAACTAAGCTACATCCCAGTCCTGTATCATTAATGTAAACAAATACTTCTACTTTAAACTACTTTGGGGGCTAGGAAGGTGGCTCAGAGGTAGAGGCCCTGGATTTGATTGCTCAGCACCACATAAGCAGAAAAAGCTGGAAGTGGCACTGTGGCTCAAGTGGTAGAGCACTAGCCTTGGGCTGAAGAGTGCAGGGACAGTGCCCAGGCCCAGAGTTCAGGCCCCATGACCGACAAAAATAAAAAACAAAAAAAACTACTTTGGGACATTTTTTGTTGGTGTTGGTCATGGGGCTTGAACTCATGGCCTTGGCACTGTCCCTGAGCTTTTTTGGTCAAGGCTAGTAGTCTACCACTATAAGCCACAGCTCTACTGCCGGTTTTCAGTTGTTACTTGCAGATAAGAATTTCATGGGCTTTCTTGCCTTGGCTGGCTTTGAACCGTGATCCTCACATCTCAGCCTCCTGATTACAGGATTGCAGCCAGTATTATAGGCATGAGCCACTAGCACCTAGCTTTACTTTGGGACTAAAAAACTTACTATTTCTTTCTAAATATTATTTATCAATTTAAATTTCCAGTATTATTTTGTGAGCAATTTTGTTCACATACAACTATAAACCTACAATGTGTGTGTGTGTGGGGGGGCATGTGTGCTCCCTCACCCCCAAAAGGTGGGAGCGGATAGAAACTCACACATCCCTCTGAAGAACAATGAGCATTGAACACTGAGAATTAATTTGATGCTCTAGCACAGATTTAAAGATATAAATGGTTTTGCAAGGCAGATGGGACAGCAGGACTTGAATGGAACCTTGGGCTTTCTGGTGCTGAAAAGGAAGTCTGATGAAAGCATAGTTCTCTCAAGAGCCAGAAATAATGTCTGAATATGAGGTTACACTGGATCTCAAAAAGAACATAATGGTGAAAGAATAAATGGTCCTGAATGCAACCCAACATTCAAGGCTCATTCACTTGCATCTTCCCTCTGTTAAAGAGGGAAAGAGAAGAGTTCATTCCTACCTGAAAGAAAACACAAAATCCTTAACTGGGTGCCAGTACCTCATGCTTGTAATCCTAGCTACTCAGAAGGCTGAGATCTGAGGATCCCAGTTCATAGTCAACCCAGGCAGGAAAGTCCTTGAGACTCTTATCTCCAATACCAGAAAACCAGAAGTAGAGCTGTAGCTCAAAGTGGTAGAGTGCTAGCCTTGAGCAAAAGAGCTCAGAAACATGCCCAAGCCCTGGGTTCAAGTCCCACCACTGACCAAAAAAAAAAAGAAAGAAAGAAAAGAAAACACAAAATCCTTGTTCTACATGGTTCATACCTGGCTCAGTCCAGAGCTCCCCGAGGCCGAGGGATCCGTGACAGAGTCAGCTAAGGAGTCCAGATTGGAACGCACACGCAGGAAGGCCAGGCCAAAGGATTGGTGACGTGTGAAGGGCTGGGAGCAAGTGAGACGAAGTCGATCCCATGATTCTTCTGAGGCAGGAGCTAGGAAATCGTCTCAAGGACAAAAGAAAAAGGGCTGGATGTAGTGGCCCACACCTGTAATGCCAGCACTTGGCAGGCTGAAATAGGAGGAGGACCAAGGGTTCACAGCCAGCGTGGGTTAACTATAGCGAGATCCCGGCCAGACCTATCTCAAATAACAAAAAAACAAAACCAACAACCTCACAAACTCTTCATGCCTTCAGTTCCTAATGCAACCCAACCCCCTCCAAGGATCACTCTTCCTTTATAACTTCCAATGGAAACATTAAAAAAAGCCTTACTAAACTATAAATCTCTAGAGTCCTGAAATCAGATATGTTTCTTTTGCAGTGCCCAGTTAACACATAGAAATTTTCATAAACAGAACTCAGGAAATACAATATGCTAGATAAATATAATCATCATATTCCATTACTTATATAAACATTTATCCTATACTCACACGCATTTATACAAATAAAAATGTAATAGTGACTGGCTGTGGTGGTGTATGCCTATAATTCCAGCACTTGGGAGGCTGAGGCAGAAGGGCTGTAAATTTCAAGCCATCCTGGGCTAACCCAGCCTGGGCTGCATATTGAGACTCTATCTCAAAAGCCAAAATAAAAACTAAGCCAGGCATCGGTGATTCACATCTATAATCTGATCTACTCAAGTGGTAGAAATCTGCAGGGGTGCAAAAAATTAGAGGGACAACCCCATCTCAATCAATTGGTGGGTGTGGTTGTGTGCAACTGTCATGCCAGTTACATGGGTAGTATAAATAGGAGACTGCAATCTAGATGAGCCAAGGCAAAAAGTGAGACCCTATCTCAAAAATAACAAGAGCCAAAATAGGATTGGAAGCATGGCTTAAGCAATAGAGCACTTGCCTACAAAGCTAAAAACCCTAAGTTCAACATAATACCACAAAAACCAAAACCAAACCAGACCAACCTATCCTACCCAACCAAATAGTAATCAAGTATGTGTTCTGTATCAGGTGTCACAAAATCAGAAAGTATAGGTAAATATAACCTGTCGTTCATAGGTATATCCAGCTATCACACATGCTCATCACACAGAACTCACACTCAGGCATACCACTTACCAACTACCCTATTTCCCTAATAGATGTAACTATGGCCCACACAGGCTAACCTAGTAGCATTTATAGCCTTCTCTATTCTGCATCCTCTTTCTGGGGAACATCTTCCTTTTCTGCTTTTGCCCTCTTTACCATCTTTAAACATCCGGACCCCTGAACGGTTCTTCCCCTGCTTTGAATCAGCAAGGGACATTAGCATGGTTGCAGGGAGCAGGGTGACAAAAGGTCTGTCCAGGGACCACGAAGAACGGCCCACATCAATCTGTAGGAACGCACAGCCACAGTTACCTGGGGAAATGGCAGACAGAAGGTAAGGGTGTTGGGATGACAAGTAGACCAGGGAACTTGTGGATGACAATCCTCTACTCTCGAGCTAGTTGGAGGTCAAGAAGGTCCAGCAACATGTGGAGACACACAGAGAGCCAGCAACTGAGACACACTAAGACCCCAGTCCAACAAATGATGTGCAGGTTCTTCAAGGTCTTCCCAGCCTGACACCTCTCCCAGTCTGAAGAGGCTCACTGCTTTTCTAGCTTTAGGCCCTGATAAGTAAGAGGCCACCATCTTTCTGTCCTACAAAGCTGGGACCAGTAGTCCTATTTTTAATAGTTCTCTACTTCAGAAAAGTCCAAGATCAACCTCCTCAATCCATAAACTCCTATGGACACTTCACCCTTCCAGCATCCTCCACACTAATATTTCCAGGATATACTGACTGTACTTGTTGATATTTATCATGGCAATGACCTAAGGCTTTATTCAGATCACACAGATCAAACCAAGGCAGGTACACTAATTCAGAAAGTATTATTCTACATTATATTTAAACTATTCTGACTATATTCTACATGATTAGAGACTTTGGAGTGATCTAACATCAGACCTGCCATAAGGGTCACAATTCTCCTTCACACTTTGGCAGGTCTTATTCTGAATAGCCAGAATGACTTGAGACATCTGATGGGAGTATTTAGAGGTATCACTCATGCATCTTCTCTCAGAGGTTCCTGGGCCACAGAGAGCTCACTCACCAACATCAATGTAGCTAATAGGCACTGCTCTCTCCAGCTGGAGCTCTGCTTTCAGTTGCCCACTCTTGTCCTGAGGACAGCTAAGCCATGGTCCCTTCTGGATGTCTGGGTTTAATAAGTTCTCCACAGGATACTTGGGATCCTAAATCAAGACAGCAGAGGAGGAAATCAGGAACCTTACTGAGCCCAAGGGAAACAAAATAAAATGAGGCCCATTAATAAGAGATTCGTTCTAACCATTTTTTGATTCTTCAAGTTTTTGAAGCATCTTAACATGATGTAAAGGGACTAGACAGAAATCCACAGGCATGGAGATAGATACTGTGGATGTTAGAAGACAATGTATGTTTTAGTAGGCTAAAAAGTATATGAAAAAAACTGCTCAAGATGCTCATGCAGGTAAGGATGATATGTATACTTTTTATTTTATTTCACTGAGACTAGAGGTTAATAGCTCCCAAAGATGGAAGGGTCTTTCTGAAATGTACGGGGAGGTTTTTGGCTTCCATGGTGACTAGGAAGCAATATATTCTCATTAGGGTCTTCGGGGCAGGGAGGCTAACTATGCCACAATGCAAATGGTATTGCTGCAAAGTGCGGACTTAGCCCCCAATTATCAATGGCACCTCTGACAAAGATTGAGACAGGAGACGGGAAAAAGAGAGTAATGAAGGCAGAGGAAAAGTGAGAAGTCCTAAGAATCCCCACATTGGAACAGTCCTGGGTCCAGGATCTGGGATCTAGCAGTATACTGGAATTATAGAACTTTTAGGAAGAAGGCTTAGATCACAATTGATGGTGGTCATAATTTAGCCTTATAGATTAAGGTTGACTTTGAGTGTCCCAGTCTGCTCTCAATGAGTGTGGCTAAAATGCTCTTCTGGGGACTCTGGTGCAGAATCTAAGCCTAGGGCTTTACCAGCTTCCTCCAAACTATAGGCAAGTCTATTTATTCCTTCCAGTCAAGGAAACAAATCATGCCTGATGACTAACATACCTGAGAGGAAAATGATACTATATGGCTGATCTTTACAGGAGCCATGGCAGGCCTACTAGCTGTCCCAAGTACAAATCAAAATGCTTCCTTTCAAAATCTCTTCGGTTACCACTTTGGCTCCATGTTTTGGTCTTCACAGCCTCCAGTAGAACAAGAATTCTCAAGTTACTCCTGAAGAAGAGGAAAAAGAAGAAACTCTGATGACAGGAGTCATTTTTAGCAGTTAAGTCTGATGAACCACCATGGGCTTGGAAGGAGAGATGGGCAGGGAGCAAATCCCAATCACCTAATGAGACTCCAACAAATGTGTAACAATCGGAATGCCATCTCAAGGCCATAGGGGCAGCAAGTACACAATAATACAGTAATATATTACCATTGGGTTTACACATAGATTAACTCCTGAGAGCAAGCTGCCTTAAGTCATTCAGCTTTGTCCTAGAACCTAGTACACAGAAATACATGCTCTGACTCTCTTTTTGCTTAAAGAATCTTCACAAAGTTGTTTTTCTTTTCTTTTGGGTCCAGTCGTGGGGCCTGAACTCTGGGCCTGGGTGCTGTCCCTCAGCTCTTCAGCTCAAGGCTGGCGCTCTACCACTTGAGCCACAGCACCACTTCCGACTTTTTTTCTTTTTGCTTATGTGGTGCTGAGGAATCAAACCCAGGGCCTCAGGCATGCAAGGCAAGCGCTCTACCACTGAGCCACCTTCCCAGCCCCACGAAGCTGTTTTTCATTAAGTTACTCTTCTATCAGAAATATCCAAGCCAAGCACTGGTGGCTCGCACCTGTAACCCTAGCTACTCAGGAGGCTGAGATCTGAGGAGCACAGTTCAAAGCCAGCCCAGGCAGGAAAGTCCATGAGGCTATTATCTCCAATAAACCACTCAGAAAACTGGAAGTGACACTGTGACTCAAGTGGTAGAGCACTAGCCTTGAGCTGAAGAACTCAGGTACAGTGCCCAGGCCCAGAGTTCCTCCCCATGACCAACAAAAAAATTAAGAAAAAAAAAGAAATATCCCAAAACTATCTGATATATTAGAACTTCTTGCTATTTGGTAGGTGCTTAAATATTGAGTTTGGTCTCTCAAAGCCTGTTCAATGTAGATTTCTATATTTCCTGCTGCATTTCCTATCACTACTATGTGTGTGTGTGTGTACACGCACACGCTCACGCGCACACATACACACTGATACTAGGGCTTGAACTCAGGGCTGCAAGCTCACTCAGTTTGTTTGCTCATGTTCAGGTTTTTTGGTTTGTTTTTTTTTTGCTTGCTAATTAAAAAGTCTTTTGGACTTCTCTTTCCTTTTCTTCTTTTTACTTCTTTTTTGCCCATTCTAGGGCTTGAACTCAGGGCCTCAGGCTCTTGCTTAGCTTGAGCCACATCTCTACTTTCATAGTTCTTTATTTCTCCCCTACCAATCCTGGGACTTGAACTCAGAGCCTAGGTGCTGTCCCTTCTTTTGCTAAGGGCTTAGCACTCTGCTACTTGAGCCAAAACACCACTTCAAGCCTTTTCTGTTTATGTGGTATTGAGGAATTGAACCCAGGGCTTCATGCATGCTAGGCAAGCACTCTACCACTGAGCCACATTCCCAGCCCTACATCTCCACTTCCATCTCAGACTTTTCTGCTCCAGCTGGCTTCAAACCAAGATCTCCAGTTCTAAGCCTCCTGAGTAGCTAAGATTACAGGCATGACCCACAGAAGCCCAAAGGTGTTTTACATAATTATCATTGTTTCTTTTATTTAATCTTTTTTTTTTTTCCTTGACCAGTCCTGGGGCTTGAACTCAGGTCCTGGGCACTGTCCCTGAGCTTCTTGTTCAAGGTTAGTACTCTTCCACTTGAGCCACAGAGCCCCTTCCCTTCCGGCTTTTTCTGTTTATATGGCACTGAGGACTCTAACCCAGGACTTCACTCTTGCTAGTCAAGCACTCTACCACTAACCCACATTTCCAGCACCATTTATTTAATCCCCCCCCCCCCCCCCGGCTCCACACATGTCCTGAGGCTTGAATTCTGGCCTGGGTGCTGTCCCTGAGCTTTTTCCACTCAAGCGAACACTTTGGTGGTTATTTGGAGACAAGAGTCTCCTGGGCGGGCTAGCTTTGAACCATAATCCTCAGATCTCAGCCTCCTGAGTAGCTAGGATTGTAGGTGTGAGCCACTAGGGCCCGGCTTATTTAATCTTTAAAAAGCTAACACGAGGCAGGTGTGGTAGCATCAGCTTATATTCTCAGCTACTGGGAAGGATGAAGATTCTTTGGGTCCACAGGTCATTCCAGTCCAATTCCCCAGAGATCCGGCCACGGGGCCGTGATGAGTGCAAAGAGTCACTTTCAGATGTGCATAAAACAGTGTGTAAAAAGTCAGTTATGAAGCCGGGCGGGAGCTGGGAGTCGCAGGATGTAGTACAGGGGAGTATAGGAACGTGTGGCAAAAGGCCTCGTTTGTTGGCCGCGGAGCTCCGGAGCAGCTGAAGACCTGCTTTCTTAGTGGTCACCACCCACCCCTCCCTAAGGTCTACTCAACACCACTCACCTGCGACAGCGAATCTTAGGAAGTCACCGCAGCTTCAGACCGGGGATCACAAATTCATTCTCCCGCCAATTCCGCACCGTGAACTCCGCCTTCTGACCCCAAGTTCCACTGTCTCCCGAAGCTCAGAAATTCGTTCTGGGGCTTAAAGAATCCGCGTCTGAAAAAAAAAAACAACTGTCATCAAGGCAACAGAGAGGGAGCCACACGCAGAAAAAAAAGAAAAAAAATACACGTGGTGGGTTTTTGTGTATAGATTTCTCTCACAGCTGTTCTCCCGTGGAGAGCGTGATTAAGCTTCCGGTTCAGACCCAAAGAAGCATGGGAAATGTAGTTCTTAGTTCACACGCTTCACTCCCGGCAGTCCACGTGAGGGAGCGTCGCGAAAGTTGCCCGTTTAGGGACTCTTGCCTTTTCGCTTTTCAAACGGCACAATTGGCGAAATACTTACACTCACAGTGATAAAAGCACAATGTCTCATTTTCCATTCCCTGCTGAGGTTTGGAAACGCAAGACAAACGTCCCTCTTTAATCCGTAAACGAGTAGCAAGTGGAGGGTCTCTTGGTCCCTGACAGGTCTCCGCCTGCCTCGAAGCTCCGCCCCCAGGCCGGCCTCCGCACTACCGATTGGCTAGCATCGCCAGAGCGGCGGAAGCAGCTGGCTAGCACAGGGGGGGGGACTGGGCAAGTGGGGGGGGGTCAGCGGGCAAGATGGCGGCAGTGGTGGAGGTGGAGGTTGGAGGAGGTGCTGCTGCGGAACGGGAGCTGGAGGAGGTAAGGGGGATTGGGAGACGGAGAAAAGAGGGACTCCACTTGAAAGTGAAGAGAGGCGACGGGAGGCCTTGGAGGAGGGGGCTCCCAGGAGGGACCGCAGGGGGCCCAGAGCGGGTAGAGCGTGCTGCCTGGGAGGCGGGTGCGCGGTGCGGGGAAGCTGCGGTTCTCCTGCCCCGGGGACCCTGCCTGCGGCGGGCCTGGGGTCGAAGGCTGGCCGCCGCCTCTAGGGTGGAAGAAAGGCGGGAGTGTGAGGCTTTTGAGGCCGTGGTCTGGGAGTCCCGGGGTGGGACGGCAGGACGGCGGGCGGCCGCGGCGTCGGAGGGGCGTGGTGGGAGAGGACCCTCAGCCGGGCGCGGGCGGTGGGCACGCAGACCCGGAAGCAGGGCTGCTTTCCTAGCCTAAGGGCTTGGACTTCTTTTCGGATAGGAATCGTTTCGTTATGTAGCCCTGCATTCTACGACGTGGTACCTAATGCATGCTCTGTAAAGTTTGGGTCAACGAATGAAAGGACCGATGCATGAATGAATACTTGTGGGCCAGAATTTCCCCATTCACCCATTGAGCGGACGTTTAAAGATCACTTTTGTGCCACGGCCTGGGCTAGGTGCTAAGGATACACCCACTTCCCTTGTAGAGCCTGCAGCGTTAATGGTTCGTGGGAGACAGACAAGGCTACGGGTCATTGCATTAGAGGAATGCACTGTGTGGCTTGGAGAGTGGGACACCTATTCTAAGAAACGCTTCCTGTAGTTGTTGGATCCTAAAGGATTAATGAAAAATCTCGCTCTTGACCTCTCTTCCTGCCTCCTTCCCTCCCTCCCTCTCTCTACTTCCTTGAAGGTGAACTTGAGAGTGGATGTCCCCTTTACCTAAGAGGCACGTAAAGATTGGTGTGTGTGTGTCTGTGTGCGTCAGTCTTGGAGCTTGAACTCAGGGCTTGGGTCCTGGGCACTGTCCCTGAGCTTCTTTTGCTCAAGGCTAGCATTCTACCACTTGAGCCACAGCACCACTTCTGGTTTTTTCAAGGCTGAGAAGCAGAGACGATGAGAAAGGAATGAAAAAGTCTGAGGCCAAAGGGACAGTGATAACTAGAGTTGCGTATGGTCTTGCATGCAGATAGAAATAGCATCGAGGAATAGAAGGTGAAGATTGATTGTCAGAGATGGGACCCGTGAAATCTCGGAGGGGGTTCAGAATTTTAGAGACACCTCCCCACTATTCCTATGTTGGGGGGAAAAGTGTAGGATTGATGTTGAGGCTCAGAAAGGATGTGGACTTAGGAAGTAAAGACTGTTGCTTGGTGGTGGGTTAATGTGTGAGTGTTTATCTGCTTGGGATGAGGCTGAGAAATTGGCAGGTGGTTAGAGCATGTAGAAACTAGGCAATGAAGTCCTCTACCTCCCAACCACTAGAGACTGGAGGTGTTTGAATACCTGTTGGTTGGTGAGGTGGCATGATTGTATAAATTACTTCCATTGACCCTTCTTGCATTAAGTCTCTTTATAATTGGCTGTCTTTTAATGAAATATATTTGAAAACACCTTGAGAAGAGTAAATTCTATATTGCAGATTGCAGTTATTATTTATGGTTTGTTAGTCATGGGCTCTCTCTTTTTTTGGGGGGGGGTCCAGTCGTGGGGCCTGAACTCTGGGCCTGGGCGCTGTCCCTCAGCTCTTCAGCTCAAGGCTAGCGCTCTACCACTTGAGCACTTCCAGCTTTTTTCTTTTTGCTTATGTGGTGCTAAGGAATCAAACCCGGGGCCTCATGCATGCAAGGCAAGCACTCTACCACTGAGCTACCTTCCCAGCCCCATACATGATATTTGCTTCTTAGTTTTTCTTGTTTGATGGACTCGAGTTACTTTTTTTTTTTTTTTTTAGGTCCGGTAGTGGGGCCTGAACTCTGGGCCTGGGCACTGTCCCTCAGCTCTTCAGCTCAAGGCTAGCACTCTACCACTTGAGCCACAGTGCCACTTCCGGCTTTTTTCTTTTTGTTTATGTGGTGCTGAGGAATCGAACCCAGGGCCTCGAGCATGCAAGGCAAGCGCTCTACCACTGAGCCACCTTCCCAGCCCCCTCGAGTTACTTTTTGTATAATACACTTTCCAGAATGTTATTGCTACAGATCAACTTAATATGAAACCACTAGTACTCATCCTAGAAACTTTAACTTCTTTTATTATTGGAGAAAGAATATAATCTCTTGTCTAGAAATTCAATGTGAATTGGTTCTGTCCTTTTCTTTGTGTTTTTAAGAAGGTAACTCTGAGAAGCAAAAACAGTTGTCTTCTTCAAGCTCTAGAAAGAAGAGAAATCTGGCATGTCAGACCTTAATTGTTTTTTGTGGGTTTTTTGTTGTTGTTTTGTTTATGGTTGGTCCTAGGGCTTAAATTCAGGGCCTGGGTGCTGTCCCTGAGCATTTTTGCTCAAGGCTAGTGCTCTACCATTTTGAGCCACAGCGTCACTTCTGGTTTTCTGATGGTTAATTGGAGGTAAGAGTCTCATAAACTTTTCTGCCCTGGTTGGCTTTGAACCACAATCCTCAGATCTCAACCTCCTGAGTAGCTAGAATTACAGGTATGAACTACTGGCACCTGGCCAGACCTTCGATTGTGTAGGTTTCTACTAATGTCTCCTTCACCATTTTGTGCAACCTTCCCTAGTAGAAGGCAAAGTACAGTGCACCATTAAATATGCAATTATGGGGACCTAATGCAGTTGTCATGTGTTAGAATTTTTAGGAAAAATTCAGGATTTTTAGCAATTTGCAATGCAGTGAGGAGACATGTAAATAACCTATTATAGTACAACTAGAAAATTGCTATAATAAAAATGTGTAACAAGTGCAGTGGGGCCCAAGAGACAGGCACCAGAGTCTGCTAGGAGAAGTCAGTAGATGGAAATGTGCTAAAAAAAAAAAAAACTAAATGGGTGAGTTCCCAAGAAAGCTGTGATTGACATGTGACATCAGAGTCGTCTCCCTGTTGCACTTGCTGCTTGATTAATAGACTCTACCGTGCAGCCCAGATTATAAAAGTGATGAGTAGCCTGGCAAAGATGTATTTTTGGTATACTTCTCTTCTTTGGAAAAAATATACAAGCTGTGATTTATTCCTTAGGATACTGTTTTCCAAAATCAGATGTCATTAGCATAATAAATAGTCTCAAATAGTAATTTGTCCCTCTCTCTTTCTTCCTACCTCTCTCTTTTTTTGGTCTGGTTCCATTACTATTTTCTGTAGAGGCTGAGAGGTAATTTAGGCTGTGCCAATAGCTGCTCTTGCTTCAAAGAAATGAATAAAAAAGAGGATTTAGGATAAAGCTAGTTATAAGGCTCTTACCTTAAGTCAGTTGATGTCTATTCCCTACAGTAGCTCATTTATTACTAACGGCAGCCCTGTAAGCCAGATGGTGTTAACCCTATTTTGTAAATGAGGAGGCTGAGGCTAGAAAAGTTTAGGAACTCTCCTAGGATTCAAGTTTGTGAGTGAAATTTTTGGCCCAAGTCTGCTGTGCTGTACTGTGGCCCTTGGTTCCATTTCCCCTCTATTTTTGCTCTAAGGTTGATTAGGTAATTTAAAATTGTCTGGCCCTTTAGCCTGGTACTGATGGCTTATACCTGTAATCTCAGCTACTCAGGAGGCTAAGATCTGAGGACTACAGTTTGAAGTCAGCCCAGACAGGAAAGTCAATGAGAATCATATCTCCAATTAATCACCTAAAAGCTGGAAGTAGAGCTGTTGCTAAGTGGTAGAGCATTAACCTTGAGCAAACAAACAAACAAACAAAAACCAGCACCCATGCCCTGAGTTTAAGCCTTAGGACTGGTGTGTGTGTGTGTGTGTGTGTGTGTGTGTGTGTGTGTGTGTGTGTGACTAATTATTTTGTATGTAAAAACTAACACAGGATATTTGGTGAGTGGCAGCGATTCAGGAGAACATTTTGAAGTTTGCATTCTTGAGATATTCTTTATTAGTATTTCCTATGATTGAGGAACTGAGATTCCAAGGACTGGAGATATGCTAAGGGTTTTCAGCTAAGTGTTGTTACATAGATTTACATCCATATTTCCAGAACATGTCTATTTTCTCTTAGTTTAAAGATTTCATAAACTGCAGACTCAATCTTACCAAATAAATTGCTTTTTTCTTTATATTCAAAAGTCCCATTTCCATAATATGAAGTAGCTGTTAGGAGAGGATCATATAGTATGCTTTCTGAGAGGATCAATATGGGGATTATTCAAAAGAGTAGTATTTTTTTTTTCTATACAAGCCCTTTAATTTACTGCTAACTTGATTTTGCTGGTCCTTTGTTCATGAGGAATGTTTAGTCCTGTGGTACTTAGGGATGTGAGAGATCTACTTAGATCAGCCAGGTATTTAGCAAGTTATGATGACTGGCTAAGCTCAGCTCTATCTCATACCTTGTCAAACCACAGAATGATTGATGTTATTAGTAGGTTGATTTATGGATACCAGCTAGGAGACCCCAAAAGGAGACACAGAAATCCTGGAGCCAGAGATTTTTCTCTTTAATGGTGTAGCTAGTCAACTGAGAGGAATTGGTAGTATATTCTTGGCCCAGAGAACTAGTTTAGGATGGAAGGCAGAGAAACACATGAGTGGGCTGGGAATATGGCTTAGTAATAGAGTGATTGCCTAGCCTGCTTGAAGCCCTGGGTTTGATTCCTCAGTACCACATAAACAGAAAAGGCCACAGCAGTGCTGTGGCTCAAGTGATAGAGTGCTAGTCTTGAACAAAAGAAGCTTAGGGACAGTGCCCAGGCCCTGAGTTCAAGCCCTGGGACTGGTAAAGAAAGAAAGAAAAAAAGAAAGAAAGAAAAGAAAAGAAAGAGAAGAGGAGGAGGAGAAACACACCAGTGTCTAATCAGGACTGAGCAGTCCTCCTCGCTAGTGTCTGGCTAGTTTTCAGTGCTGCTCATCTGTCAAAATGATGTGATATCTTCTAGATTGGTAAGTAGTTTCCAGTTTAAGCCA